ACCTGCCTTTCTCACACATCTGTGCTGTATTTCTGTCATCGTTACCCCTTAGTTACCCCGCCGATACAAAAACCTCAACCAAACCAATAACTGGGCATGCTTACAGACCAAGGAACCATAACAGACACGGATCATCTCCTTGTGAGTTTAGCCAGTGGCCTCGAACTATTAGTAACATCTCAGTTGTGTTTGCACTTAATTGTTGTCCTTTCGCCCTGTTATTTTCATGCTGTTTCACTCCTGTGTGATGGTTCACTGTCTGCCCAACCGTACTGCGCATAAACAAGTTTGAGTTTACCGGTTAACCTGCTGCACTGCCAGATATCAACCAGGAAAATAAAACTCCATTGTTGTGGTGCATTAGATACAGATTTAGATGTTTTGCCTGAAAGTTAGTGTATTGCTCTGTTTGGAATTTTTAATGTAGGTGAGTTCTAAATAAACACAGAGCAAACAAGACAACAAAAGTGTAGCGAATTGTTCAAAAGGAGACAATATTTATTACCTTCATCAGGAAAAGGACAATGTGTCACTGCTTTATGACCTAACAGTGTAGTGAATCATATTTGCAGTAGTTCTGCTTTTACAGGGTTGGTGGTCTGTTATGACATCACACTGCAGACAGTAAGCACAGCTACGGGATCTCAGGTGCATGGAGTCTGGTTCTGAAGAGCCTCCAACTGGCTGTGACTCCAGCACACGAGAGTCACTGTCTTGTATCTGCTCTCATTTGCATGTAAAGGAGCTCTGTTAGGGAACCTGCTGTAGTACAAAACTGTGGTGAATCGTTATCCGTTGTAAGGCACCCATGTCCTCGGTGTTGTTTGTATCATTCTGTATATAAAAAGCACTTTATTTTGATTTGTAAATGAAAGAAATAAATGCATCCATGTTTTGAATGGCACCCTGGAGGAGTTTTTCCTGCTAGACGGAGCATGGTTTGCCGTCACTTAAAGCTGGATGTGCAACAAATAAGCCAGGCCATGAAGAGGTGCTTAGGAATTAAACATTTTGGAAGTCTAACTGGATCCAGTCTGAGATGTAATACAAGCAGATATTTAAAACCCCGGAGGCCTGTGCTTCATTTTCATTATCAGGTAAACGGTGAATTGCTTTCCCAAGTGCCCTTGTGTTTATTTGCCACTTTACATTGCAGGTCACACCCACCAGCCATCCTGCATGGGCTTTTAGGGGTGACAAGGTGAGGAATCATTTGAGCCTTTATGTACCTTCAAACAGGACTGCTCTTCAGTCAGTGAAAGTCAAAGTCTCCCCCCACTCCCCCCATTCCTGACCTGTTCTGGCTCTGCAAATGATTATGTAAAGAACTGCGTTGCATGTACCATCAGAGACAAAAAGAAATATTTGTCCATATTTAATGTAGAAATAGCAATGCATTTTGCTTTGCATGACACTCCAAGTCAAGATCTAAGTTCAATTCAATTCATTTTTATATAATACTTTTCACAACAGAGTCACCCCAAGGCTCTTTACATGGGTGTGTTGTGATACATCACAACATCTTAAGAGAGAATTTTACAAAGCAGGGAATGGGGCATGCTGACTTTATAGTATATGAGAAACAAAAGAACATAATAATAATAAACGAGAGGAGGTCATTCAGCCCATCATACTTGTTTGGGGAGAAAGAATGGGCTAAGTAGGTAATTTTATTTAGGTTTTGTAATTGAGCCAAACTGAGGGTTCCGGCTTGAATCCCAGTTGAGTCCCAACAGGAAGCCTGCAGGTACGAGGCGTGGAATAGTGACAAGAGCCTCAGGGGAACTCACTGGGAACTGAGGAGCTGCAGTCGGAAGAACCGCCTCAGAAATGCCTGGGTGTTGTCAAAGATGTGAACAGCCAGAGAGAGGATCATGTGCCCCATGATTTCTGGAGCATCATCAGCAAAAAGGCCACGTATGCTGTCAATGAGCTTCACAGCTATTTCCTAAGCACCTGTAATGGCAGCCAATGAAAAGTCTGACTGACCCATGGCATGTGGAATACTTTAATCTGCCACATGTTTGTGCCCAGTCCCCTTCGGCCTCTCACATGATTTGAAGAAGAGTTTTCTTGTAGCTTCTGCAGCTGTAGTGAAGATATCCTCCTTGACATCTTACTTGGATGGCTGTGTGGAACAGTTCATTTCCATCCAGTACAGGGTACTAATCAATTATTTCCTAATAGTGGTGCATGGGCCATATAGGATCAGATGCGACCCTTGGCTTCTGCATGCATGCATGGAACAGTTGAACATAGATCTGAAAGTGGTGGACTCATCATCTATGTCAACAAGCTGTTTATCCCCCTGCACAAACCATCCGAGCAGAGCATTTAAGACTAAGGTGAACAGCAGTGTTACTGCTGAGTTGCAGATGAGAATTCCTTAGAACTATGTATGGTAAATAAATTTCACTATGTCCTCAATGTCATATTATTTGCAACACTGATAAGAGAAGATAAAATTCACCTGAAAACATTTTTCACTTGTAGCCATTTTGAAAAATGGCTGCCACGGGCAACGTATTGAAAGTTCGTGATTGCTCAATATCCAATTTTTTTGGAGTTCTTTTGACTATAAGTAACAAATTATTGTGCTTTCATCACAAAATGCACAAAGGTTATAATCTAAGTGAATGGATATAATCCAGGGGAATTTTATAATATAAATATGCCGTAAGATTTCTTGTGTGAGCATGAGGGTCTGAAAGCGTAAGTGTCTCGCCAGTTGGCAACCCTGCAGCTCCCGGTTATGGAAGCGAGAGCAGGCTTAGCTGCTAAGGGACTTGCAGAAATAAACCATATCACAAGGGATCAAAGAGGAAGCCCTTAGGGAGGCAGTGCAAACAGAACACAAGAGCGCAACGTCAGTGCCTGTACTAGATTACTGAATACCGGGAAGAACATATATATAAGAGGGACAAGGGAGCTCACAACAGACAGATGCAGTGATTAACGTGAGGTAAGGCAAACGGGCACCAGGAGGGGCTCATTAGGGCCAAGCTTGGTACGTAAACAGGAGGGTTAGGTGGCCGTCGTGGGCAGGACATGACAGTGTTGCAGCAAACTTCATTACAGCTAGGTGTGAATACACACTGAAAGCTGAGAATAAATTTCTGGTTTTAGTATTTTTCATGCTAATTAAAAAAAATCCTCTAGACTTTCACACGCCATATCTAATGTTGAAGTTGTATGTATGGGGTGCCTTAAATTTACATTTTACTTTTATCAAGGAATGCATGTTATTTTTATGAGTTTGAAGATTTTATTGGCTTATTAAATATCGTAAAAGAAGGTAAATTAAAAACTGAACTAATAAATAAAGAGCACTGATACAGATGTTTTAGTAAGTTATTTAATATAACACCAACATAAGGAGATGTAGTATCGGGGTTTCGAAAAATTCTGTTTTTATCACGCAACTCAGTATTGTCACTGCAGCTAGGTTGATATGTAGTTGTTGTACATCAAATGTTTCCTAATTATTAGGTCATACAGAGGAGGGATCTCTCTGTTAATCTGTGAAAGACAATTCTGAAAAGACATATGGGCATGAAAAAAACGAGGTAGGATTTTTGATCTTCTAAAAAGAGATGTTTTATTCAATATTGTATGTTACAGCGGGGCATATGGAAAGGAACAGAGGAACAATCCACATACAGTAGCAGCTGACAAACAGAAGACTTCATATAAGTGCAAAATCTGCATTAGAGCAGAGGTGGCCAATCTTATCCAGAAAGGGCCAGTGTGTTTGCGGATTTTCACTGGAACTCCTAATTTGATTACTAATTAGAGGACTGATTGGTTGAAGAGTCCTCAGACCTGGGCTTGAACAGCTCACCTAAACCGAAAACCAGAACACCAGCTGGCCATTTGCGGATAGGATTGGCCACCCCTGCGTTAAACGAACCATAAAAGAAAGAGACAAAAAACAGAACATGAAAAAGAAGGAACTAAAGTATGCACAACGTTACAGTTAGAAAACAGAGCAAAAATTGGAACTAGCCTGGTGTCACATTTGCACGACGGCACGGACCGTGGAAGCAGAGGCAGGACTCAAGGGGGGTTTAATTCCGGGGCGAAGACACATACAGTAGGACAGTAAACAGGCAGAAACCACGCATTGACATTATGATGTTAATGACAGAACTGGGGAAACATACTCAAACTCAGACTTAAATACATCAGACTAATTAACAACAACAAGAAACAGCCGATAACACGGGGATTCCACACGATTCAATATTCAAGAGGTTTATTCATCATGTACACAGTTGTACACATACAACATGTAGTGGAATGTAACCCTGGTCACTCCGAGCAGCTGTTTATGATAGCAAAATATAGAGAAAAAATAAGGAAAAATAATAATATAAGATAAACAATATATGAAATGTTCAGCTGTACATAATCTATACATAAGCGATAGGTCAGAGGTATTTTGCTGTGCAATATAAGTGCAATGTGCAAGAGACCTGAGGTAAGTGCCAGCGATTTGGACAGTGTGAAGCAGCACCTAGAGGCATTAAGTATTGTCCTGGTTTAGGAGCCTTATGACCTGGGGGAAAAAGCTCCTCCTTAACCTTTCCGTTCTGGTCATAAAGCTGCAGAAGCGTTTGTCTGAACTCAGCAGGCAAAACAGAGAGTTATTGGGGTAGGATGGATCCTTGAAGATTTTCGTTGCTCTGGTCCTACAGCGGTTGTTGTAGATGTCCTGTAGGGAGGGCAAGGCTGATCTGGTGCAGTGCTCAGCAGCTTTAACCACCCTCTGCAGGGCTTTCCGGTCCTGGGCAGAGCAGTTCCTGAACCACGATGTGATGCTCATGGTCAGGATGCTCTCTATGGCTGCTAATAGAAGGTCTTCAGGACAGCAGGAGAGACCTTAACGCGGTACTATTCAGTGTGTGTGTGCACCAAATCTGGCCGATTTTGATCTTGTCATTTTTGCCTAAAATAATGCTGC